TTTGAGTGTTTTAGCTTTTTGAAGCCTTGCATGCACATAAAGTTAGCAACTTTACGTGGTAACAACACCATAGGAGTTTAGGTCTACAGTTTGGAGCCTTGGTTTCGCTTAGAAACGTTTAAATGAGAAAAGGACTAAAGGAACTCGGCGATTTGCATGGTCAACTCGACGAGGTGGATGAGGGTTTCTCGCTCTGTGGATTCTGCATGAACTCGACGAGTTGGTTAGGGGTTTCTCGCTATTCAGGATGTTGCATGGACTTGACAAGTTACTTGGTAACTCGACGAGTTTACTGGGGTTTTCATGACTTTCTGAGTTTTGAAGGAACTCAATGAGTTTGTAAGCCGCACTCGACGAGTTGGGTCAACATGGACTGTTGACCTTGACGGTTAACTTTGACTTTGACCAAGGTTTGACCAATTTGACTTCCGAGGGTATTTTGGTAATTTGGGAATTTATGGAAGTGGATCATTGGTGGTTTTAGGTGTTGGTGTTTGGAGCCGTGTTTCAGGAGTTTAATATTTCTGTTATGATCGACATTGTGAGGTGAGTTGCTTTCACCATAGTAACAGGGTCGAAGGTACCAATGTCGACCCTTTTTTTGGATTGATATCCTGGTTATTACATGATGATATGCTTAGTAACCTGTTAGGTCGGTATCGAGGTATATAGGATGATGCTATGTTAGTGATCGGTTAGGTCGGCATCTGATAAGATGATGCTATGATTAGTGATCTGTTAGATCGGTTTGACTGTTTGTATATGCTAGCATTGTTATCTATGTGTTGATTGTGTGCTGGGGGTGGGTTGAGGCGGACCTGCTTTATGCTGTAGGCCAACATACCCAAGGCGGCCTGGATAGACTGTAGGCCCAATGGGGCATATCAATCAAGCCGAAGGCTCAGAGAATGGTCCAAACAGGCTGAAGGCCCATGAGGCGGACCAGACATGCTGAAAGTTGTCAGAGTGGGCCAGACAGACTAAAGGCCTGGTGAGGGCGGTCCGGTCATACTGTAGACTCTATATGCATGCTGTTTATTATGATATGGTTATGGTTTGTATAGCATTGCTATTTTGGGGGAACTCACTAAGCTTCGGGATTATAGTTGTGGATTTTGTTTCAGGTAGTTCAGATGATAGCGGGAAGGCGAAGGCGTGATCGTGCACCTCCTTGCATTTTTAGGATTTGATTTCTAGGATACTCTGATATGAAACTATTTTGAAAATGTTTTGTAATAAATAATGGTTTTTGAATGCTTGAAAAAGTTTAAAATTTTCATGAATTTTATGGATGTGACACTACAACTGGAAAACCACGTCAAGTTGCCAACTTTACGTTCATGCACGCCAAAAAGAAGCTCTAGAAATCATGAAAGGCTTAATAAAGGACTTAATGAATGGATGAGGCCTAGAACCTAATAAAGCTTGCAACTTTAAGCCAAATGAGGCAACAAAATGGCCAGATCTAAAGTGACAACCCATAAAATACACAACTCCTTGAACAACTCGACAATGAGCCAATAATCACAATACAAGCTCAAGGAAGAGATCTAAGAAATAAAGAAGGAAGATGTCGACTTTATACCTGAAAAAGACTGCCGCAAGTGGGGAGGTTCTAGATCTATAACCTTCCTTTCAATCTAGACACCTCAAACTTCAAGGCTCCTTCAAAGGAATACCAAAAATCAACTCTCCAAGCTCTCCACAAGCTCACACACTCAACTTTGGAAGATGATACACAAAATTAGGATTTATGGACAAAGGAGGATGGTAAGGAGGCTAGCCAAGGGACTTAAGGCCTTTAAGTATGGTGCAACACCCTAAAAATTAGGGTTTCTTTATCAGCTGCCAACTCGCCGAGTTAAGGCACCCCGACTCACCGAGTTGGTTCATTAATATCCGTGACCAAAAGTCACCTCAACCCGCTGAGTTGAGGCTTCTAACTCGCCGAGTTCCCAATGAAAAACATGTTTAAAGAATCAAAATTTATACCCGAGGATTAGGATGTTACAAAAACGCTTGAAACTTGCTCAGTAGTTTCATAGATCTTATTAATCTTCATATTTGTCACTTTTTGGTCACTTTAGTGCATAAAGTCTAGATCCTGAAAGTTTGTGACGTTGTTATGGATAAAGTTGGAAACTTTATCCATCTAAACATCATATTGATTCAGATATGACGGTTGGAGACTTGGATAAAGTTGAGAAATATGCATTTTTGATCGCTTTGAAACTTAAATACTAGATCTTAGTTGTTTAGAACATCCTAATGGATGAAGTTGGAAACATTATCCATTATGGAGTTACTAAGAACCATAAAAATGAGATCTTTGTCCTTATATCGCTTCCATGAAAGATTCGTGATGTCTTAATGGATTATTAAGTTAGGGTTTTAGCTTTTGGGCTTTGTCTAGCCATGGAAAGTCATAAAGGCGGAAACTTTATGACTTAGAATGATGTTATGTGTCTAGATCTGAGTTTGGACGAGAGGTCTTTAGAGAATAAGTTCTTAATATGAAGTTTTGGATTTAGACGGAGTACGCTAGGCATACCAATGGGTACGCTGCGCGTACTGAGTTAGAGTCCCATGGTTTTGGATGAGATGCGACTACGCCCAATGTAGTAGCTGAGTAGGCTGGGCGTGCTCAACCAACTTGACCTTCCCTTGACTTTTTTACTTGCTGACTTTGAACTTTGACTTGGGGTTTAACAAAGTTTGCCTTAGGGACATTTTGGGTATTTTGAGTAGTAGTTTGAGATTAGGTTATTGTTTGTTGTATAGGTGACTTGTAGAGTCAGCCGTTAGAGTTGTGATCTCTTCATCTATCTTTTCAGACTGTGAGGTGAGTTTTCCTCATTGTACTTATGGGTCGAAGACACCAATACCGACCCACTGGTTTATATATCTTGGTATATTGGATTGATGTTATGCTGGTTATATGATAGATTGGTAGATATGCATGATTACCTGTGTTCACTGAGCATGTGTTAGATTGGTGGATTTGTATGATTACTTGTATTTGTTGGTTATTGATTGTTATTGTATATGTCGACATGTTATGGTTTTTTGGGCTGAGGCGATTCTGCTTTGTGCTGAAGGCCAAGATATCCGAGACGATCCAGATAGATTGTAGGTAGGCGAGGCGATCCAGTCAGGTCAAGAGCCCGAAGAACGATCCAGATAGGCTGAAGGCCTACAAGGTGGTCCAATCAGACTGAAGGCTCAGACATGCATGGTTTTATCTTTATTAGTTGTGTGTGATATTTTGGAAAAACTCACTAAGCTTTGGCTTACAATGTAAGTTTTATGTTTCAAATACTTCAGATTATAATATATTTTTAAGGGTATATATTATATTAATCATTTTTTTAATATATTTTTTACATTATGAAACACACAAGAAATATTATATAGCATGCTTAATTGGTAAAATCTTTTGGGACTAAATCTTCATACTCTAATCTTTCTCTTCTAATAAATAAATCTGCAATATACCACATGTCATCCTCTAAAAGAATTGCTTTGGCTTTCTTTACCACCACGTATTTTAATCCACTAATAAAAGCCCTAAAATATTTTGTACTCATAAAGGTCCGATTTTATACGGTGTATATCTGAAATTATAAGAAACGAATTAGTTCTTGTGTTTTTCTTCCAATAATCTGATTTCAGATTTTGTTATTCATTTTCTTTAAGTTTCATATTATGGCCTTAGAATAATGGAACATGTTTGATTTTGTTGGGGTGAAAACCTTTTGATGTTGATACTTGTGTGGTCTAATTTTTTTATTTATTGATTTCATATCTACGATGACTCGTATAAATGTCTTTTAGTATGTATTTGAAATAGTGATGTAGATTTAGCTAAGAATCGTTGAATACATAAAGCTTTATGTCAATCTTTGTTTTCTTTTGTTGAATCTTTTTTTTTTTTTTTTTTTTTTTTAATTTTATTTTCTTTTTATTTTGATGTTTTTAGTAGGTCATTAAGTAGTTGTTTTAGTGATCAATTAGGGCTATTGTTTCTAGTAATTGGTTTCGTGAGAGCATGATGCTCTAGAGTGGTATAGTTTGTCTAGAGCATAGTTTGGTCACTTGAACTCATCTTTGTTGAGAAGGTAAATTTCCTAGTTGCCCCTGTATCATCTAAGTTTTCCTTCACAATATTTATAATTTTTTGGGTATGTTTTCTTATCAAGTAGCTAGGTAATGATTCCAAAATTCTACTTAAAAGAACATTACTCTTATTTTCAAACCATTTTATGCATTACAATAAATAATGATCGATACAGTTACAAATAAAGTATCAAACTTTGTTTAAAAATAATTGTATGTAAATCTATGATTATTGATTATGATTTTTAAAGTTACTTAATTTTAGTTTTTATTTATTTTTTACTTTGTCAAACCGTGTATAACCTAGTAAGTAAAAATATAGGTTTTGAGAGATAGATGATGGCTTTAATGGTAGCAGGTATGAGTTTATCAAGTAAATAATGTCTAATATGATTAATCATTTATCATTTTCGTAATTATTTCTATATTAACCATTAATACTTATGAACATCAATACTTTAGAGCATCAGCAATAACTTGACGGATTAGTTAACCACAAAACTGTAGAAATAAATATAAAATGATAAACCAAGAGTAAATCATATGATAAAAAAAAGTAGATATATCTTACCAGATATGTGGCAGAATTCGTGGAAAGTTATCCGAAGTATAACAACATATAAGTTGTTTTAAATAAAATTCTACAATCATATTAATAATATAGTTTTATAATCATAATTGTTAGATCGTTGTTTTAAATAAAATTCTACAATCATATTAATAATATAGTTTTATAATCATAATTGTTAGATCATGTATTTTGACTTTACCAAATACATGGCACTAATATATTTAAACCATATCCTTTAAAAATTTTCAATTTAGTTATCATATATATTAGAAGAAACCAAAAAAAATCATATATAATTATACCACAAAGACAAGTCCTAATATATTAAAAATCTAAGAATAATCATCCCAAAGTCAAAAACCAAAACTTTCAAACATTCAAAATCTCAAAACCTAACTAAAAGAAAAAAAAACTAAAAAAACCAAACCCCTTCAAAACCCTAAAAATCCAAAATGTTTCAGAAACCTAAAAATCCAAACCCCTTCAAAACCTAAAAATCCAAACCTAAATTTACATTATATCAAAAGGGTACCAAAAGGTCCTTCAAACAGCAAATGTCATTTCTGTAAAAATTTTCAAGCCATCTGTACTTCAGACGCCGGCGTTTTGCTCTTCCTTGGAGTTGTTCGCCAGAAAATTGCATATAAAACAAGCTGCACAAACCCAGAAAGAGCCCCAATACCATTCGCAATCTGCAATTTCAAAATACAAAATTTAGCATTTACGATTGAATTAATTTCTAGTTAATTGGATGAAGAAGATTAATTGAAAACATTTAACAGATTAATTACCAGAATGAACCAATCCCATTTGAGAAGAGCATAAGTCGTCCAGCAACAACCGTTCAAGAACGCAGCTAATGAAAGATAGAATGGCATGTATTCGACACTCTTTGTTTTTATTACTTTCCACTGTTGTGTTTTCAAAATAAATGAAATCAATCAGAAATGTTGAATTACTCATGAGTCATGATGCAGATAGATAAAAGAGAAAGGAGATCAACTTACCATGATAGTTAGAGGGGAAGTGTACATGCCAATTCCAAATACAATACAGAAGATCCCAATGAAGGTTGATCTAGCATCATGGGTGTGGAACAATCCTAAATCCAAACCTGCAATAACACCAAGGCCAACAAGCTCGGCAGCTAAAAACCCGAATATCTTTTTCTGTAGAAGAAGAATAGGTATAAGAAAGTTTAGATATAATCAAAAAATGGATGAAGATCGAAGTACTCAAAACGTACCCTATGACTATTATTGCCATATAATAGGAATGAGCTGAGATAAATAAGCTCCAATGCAAGACCTATGGCGTTGATGGTGACGACAAGAGTGCTGTCTGGATGATTGATAGGTAAGCCATAGAAGATCCATAGCAAACAGTTCATGACACATGCTATGTAAGGATCTGGTGAGAATTCCTCCACTGATTTGTTCTTGAAGATTCTCCATATCGTAGGCCTGTGATTTACCAGTTTTGATTACATGATATGATCACAATATAGAAAGAACAACAAATTTAGGTGTATAGTCATAACGTATAGGAGCTTACGAGGGAGAGATAAACAGACCGAAAGAGATGACATTCCCTGTGGAATTGAAAGTTATGAACATGAATTAGTGTTGATTATTGAATAAGTACGTAGAAGAAACAATAATTAAAATTTGAAATATGAAGTTGAACAGATGAATCGTAGTATAGCTAAATAGAATTATTTCATCCGTTTCAAACTAAGAGCAAGTTGATTGTAACAGATTGATAAAAAGGGAAGAAACAGCGAAAACAAATATGAAATTTTCTTTTACTATCATTTTCAAGTATACCATCGTCGACCTAATTCACATCATGTTGATCGACTAACGGTTTCAGATTCAAACAATCAAGATCATTATTCACTTTTGTTTGTAATCAGTAAAACGTAAACAGTTTAATAAACTATCAATTTTGCGAACTATTTCTAGTTATCTAACTAAATCAAAACGTCAAAACTTCATGAAATCTCGATACATGCGTTTTTAATGTCGGTTTCAGAACATAAACATATGCATTTTTAAGAAACGACAGTCAAAAAATCTAAATCTATATCAAAATGCTCCACATACATATAACGTATATATAGGAACGATTAATAGATCCACCATGAAATCACCGATCGAGCAGTTAATTGGACAAAAAAAATAAAAAAACGAAACGTACCAATGATTCCAACAATCGTGCGTATCTCATCATTATTCATCACCATCTTTGGAAGGCAAACGAAGAAGATTAAGAAAAAGTGAGAAATGATTATTGATAAATGAATTCAGCGCAGCATGGAAATGATGTTATATATAAGCGCCAATCCGAGTTCTACTTTAATCGGATAACATCTTAGTCCCCCAAAATACTACTATGATTCAGTTTAAAAATACAAATTTATCCATTAGTTTATCCTTTTAATAACTAGACTAGATAACAAACTATAAATACGGATTACAAAATTGTATATCCTCAAAAAAAATTTAAATTTTAGAGTGTAAAAGTTTTATTTTTTTAAAAGGTAAATTGTTTTTAATTAATTTTAATTTGCAGTTGAACTTCTAAAATCATAACTAAAACCACAATATTTTTTAATCTGATAACATCTTAGTCCCCTAAAAGTGATACTATTACTCAGTTTAAAAACACAAAATTATCTATTATTTTTTTCCTTTTAATAACTAGACTAGATAGCAACCTTAAATACGGATTACATACATCCTAAAAAAAAATTAAAATTTTACAGTCTAAATTTTTTTTTTTTTTTTTTTTTTTTGAAAAAAGATAAATTATTTTTGATAAATTTTAACTTGGAGTTGAACTTCTAAATTCATAACTAAAACCACAATATTTTTTAAAATTGATAATTTTAGATATTCTATATAACATAAAATACCACAAGAAATCTCACCTTTAATTAGCGACACCACTTTTTTTGCAGCAATACATGCTTTAGCAGCAACATCAGACCGGACCGTTGCTAAAGGTGTCATCGCTAATATATATCTTTGACCGGCTATCCATATGATAGTGAAAAATGAATCGTGGCCCTACGTTTGTTTGTTGATCCAACAAGTAGGGTTTAACTTCGTCCATATATAATAGCGGTGACACCGTCACCACTATTACCAAAAAAAAACCTATGAACAATTCCCTCCAATGAGTTGCCGCTATTACCTCTTTGTCGCTGCTAATGGTTAGTCCCTTTAGTTCGTCCCATGTCCCATAACTAGGTGTGCTCCCATTTGTTTCCCCTTTTGATTTCTCCGATGATTCTTTGATTTCCACCCTCACCAGCTTCTCCAGTAGTGTTGTTAAGATTCTACTTGTTGGATTCAGGTGAGTTTGTTCACTATACTATGTAGGACACTAGGTGTCATGTTATGCAAGATTGGCTTTCTAACTTTTGCATGAAAGATTGTGGTTGGACAACAACACATATGTGAAATACCGTGGTTGGATCACAACACCAATATAAAAGACTATGGTTGGATCATATCATTTTTATGAACGACTATGGTTGGATCAACATAGGAAAGACTATAGTTGGATTGTAGCTACAAAAGTAATTGTCAGATTATGATTGGATCATATCATTCACATTAGTATGTGGTTGGGTCACATCACCTCTAAAAAAACAATGGTTAGATCACATCACCTATATGAAAAACTGTAGTTGGATAACAACACATATATGAAAGACTACGGTCGAATCACAACACATAAATGAAAGACTATGATTGGATCATAGTAGGAAAGAATGTGGTTGGACTGTAACAACATAAATGATTGCCAGACTATGGTTGGATCATAGCATTCACATTGGTATGTGGTATCTTGGAGAACTCACTAAGCTTTGTGCTAATAGTTTTCGTATTAAAATATTTAAGGTACTTTTGGTGGCAAATGGAAGGGGCAGCTTGATTGTATATCATCCATTCGAGATTTCACATTTTATGAATTTTGTTTATTACTCTAATAACTGGTTGTAGGATTTGAACTCGTGTATTAAACATTTTATTTGGTATGAAACTTGAGATGGTTTTGAAATAAAAAAAATTACTCTATTTTTTTGGGATGTTACAAGTTAGCATCACAACCTTGGTTTGAGGGATTCAGGTTAGCACTTGGTGCATCTAAACTCAAACTGAGGACTGAAGGATTTAATTTATAAAAAAGTTTTCTGAAAAGTTTTTACAAAAGAAAAGGATATGATGTGTACAATCAGTCGGAGCTAAAGTAAGTGATTCCCAGAATATTTATATATGTTGATGTGTTATATGTGTTGTAGTATGATATGCATTATAAAACTTAGAATAAAGATCTACTTAGGATTTTAGGGTAGAATGCTTGCTGACGAGAGATGCCTTTTCTGCCTGTAATGTGAGTTTTTAGAGATATGTGATAGCGTGTAGGCTAAGGATCTTTTAGGAATTGCATGTTAGAATTATCTGATCTTTATGATTCCTTGGTGCCTGATCGATTTGCTGCTCGAATGTTGTTTATTTTGTACTATTTGATACCTATCCTGATATTAGCTAACTATTAAGATAATGCGTTAGGTTACATGCCATAAAGATTAAATAGTTTTAGAATGCTTAATTTTGCTCTATATGTGTAGCTCTTGTTTGAGTCTAACTGTTGTAGTGCAAGATCTTTCAATCGAAAAACTATTTATTTTTTGTTGCATGTAATTATATTAGTAAGATAGTTAGTTGACATTGGTAGAAGTTTTTTCTTTGACTGATAGCAGGGTGAGGTGGGATTCTTAGTGACCTAGGAACAGTGTTAGAATGTGCTAATGTGGGTATATGCATAAGAGGAATCCTATAAGGATAATATAGGAAGAATAGTGGTTTGTACTCGTTAGGGTGTGGGTATATGTGATTAGAATGGTTAGAAGTGTTTGTGTGTTGTGATTTGGGAACTTTAAGACAATTCTTGGGATGAATACACATAGGTGTGGAAGATAGTATAGAACCGTACTACCAGAAGAAGAGGATCCGTATACGGATCAGGAAGATTTGAAAAGGTTACTAAGGAGTTATTTGAGGGTAGAAATTGTGTTTTGGAACCATGATTTGTTTTAATCTATTTATGTCTCTTTCGGTAATATGGTTATGGTTAGAAAGGATGAGAATGATCTTGGTTTTGGTTTGGCCCTGGTGGTCGTGGTGGTTTTGGTCTGAATGTTGCAGACTTGTACAAGATGGTTAATTTGAAAGTCTCAAGAATTCATCTCAAGATGTTATCAATAGGATTCGTGAGACACAAGGAAGAAACGTTAGTGAAAATCAACATGGGGATTGCATGCTTATCGAAGTTGGTTAGCTGATGACTGGAGTTATCGATTGCTACATCAAGGTTATATTTTAGTCCCCCTATATTTGAGGAGAAGAGAGAAAGATCGAGCATATGATTTCAGATTCGGAATGAAGGCCCAATAGAGGGTGAGATAGTAGGTGCGAGTCCAAGCACCACCAGAAGTGAGAGATTCAAGGCTTTGGGTATTTGTTTAGATGATATAGGTAGTTGCGGTTGTCGTGACAAGTATGTGAAAAATAAAAGGGTTCTCTTTGTAACACCATAAATTTTCAAACAAAATTTTTCATTTTAAAAATCACGTGGTTCTGATAAACATAGTTCACAAATCTCCAAATGATAATTTATCAAAACACATGTTCATAAATTATTCAAAAACAATCCAGGATCCTCAAAACATAACTCCGCCTCGTGTGTAAAATCAAGCCGACGCCTTCCCGTGATCCTGAGAAGTACCTGAAACACATAACATATAACACGGTATACTCGAATAAGAACCTCTGGTCAATGTTGTTGGATTAGTGTCTAAGTCCATAACTATTTTGGTATGTATTTGACCCGATGGTGCATGGTCCTTTTGGGTTGCCTTCACCAAAGCAACTTGATAGGATGAATTATGGAGAGAAATGATTAAATATGATTTATTAATATATTATGAGAATAATATATTAAAGGAGAAATCATATTGTTTAATTAATATTAGTCAAGAATTAATAAGAATTAAGTTTGTGGCTAAAAGACATTAATTAAAATTAAGGGACTTGAACTGTTAATTGTATAATAGTTGAATATTGAGGTAATTGACTCAATATTAAAGGGGGTGGATGAATTCTATGGGGAAACCTATTAGAAATTGTCCAAAGGCCTTTAAGTAAGGGGTTCATGGGTTGCTTATGGCCTAAACATCCAAACTAGGGTTTCCTTATTAGATAATCCTAATAGCCTCACTATTTAATGACCCCTTGGGCACCAAAAACGTGGGCAATTGAATCCTTAGGGTTTCTACATGTTTTTGAGTGTCTCCTTCTCTTCTCTTCTTCATCCTCTTGCTCTTGGTGTTTGTGAACCATTAGAGGAGTGACATTTGTGACTTTAAGTTTTCTAAAGTCAATACAAGAAGGATTTGAGATTGTTATTGCTACATAACAATCAAGGTATGATCTAAGTATAATGAGGTACAAAAGTAACTAAATGTTTTTACAAATTCCCATTCTTAGTTACTTTAGGCAAAAGTGAATTGATGAAATTCCATGAAATTACACTTTGTGCCCTTGCGAAGACGTTAGTGGAGTGTGTGGTTTACCGGCACACTAAATGGTTCTAAGCAAAGGTAGCAAAGGGTGACTCAATGTTTGTCATTGTTCGGTGGAGTGTGTGTGGTTTACCGGCACATCGAATAGGTGACCGTAACATGTGAGGGCACCATGTAAGTTTGCATGGTTATTCACACCCGCTTTGTGATCCTTGGCATCCCAGTCACAAACAAGAGGGGCATATCGAGATTTAAACATGCCATTGAAAAGTTCAATGAATCTCAAAGGATCTAGGAGTTTTCATAGATTTAAAACTTAAATTTCTTTTTCGTTTTTCATGGTGGAAAATTAGTGAATCGTCATTCACTTACCTTCAAATATTCTGCAACTAGATTACGGCATCCCTTTTCTAGGTTGTAGCGTATTGTGTTGGGTCCTAGCCTTAATATCTCATTTGGGTGATTTATTAAGGACTCAATCTATCAACTAACTTGAATTTATGTTTTCTCCCGTTTTGTAGATGTCAAAGTTCGACAACTATGATCTTCCCAAATCCCGTGGAACAAGCTTTCCACATAAAGATGATATTCCAAGATTCGATCGAGGAACAAGAAATCATGCTTCACTTCCCCCTCCTCCTTCCGTTGTT